ATGGAGAAGTCTCGTGCCATCTGCAGGCTCCCTCCAGGTGGGTTCGTGGGAAAGAGACACGTTGCCAGCCAGTGCCCTTGCCACACCCCCCATGTGGCCCAGACTCCCCATACTGTGTTCTTCCTCAAAAGCCATAGAAAACAGACATGAAAATAAACATAAGTGAAGTCTGAATACCTAAAAGCCACCCAACTCGATTCCCATCAGGGTTTCCAAAGAGAAAACAGAGAAAGAAGAAGAGAACCTGAAGAGCCATCAGGCCTTGAGCTCTCCTGTCCCTCTCTGATCTTCTCAAGTGCAGAGGCCCCGTGAGTGACCTGGCTGAGCGCTCAGGTCCACAGCTGGTGGCGCCTCAGTGAAGGGAAGCAGCCGCACTCTTCCTAGAGGGCTCCCCCTGATGGGGCGGCACTGTCCCCGTTGGGAGGGGACTCTGTCTCCTAGGAGCTGTGCTCCTGCCTATGGACACCCCCCTCCTCACCTGAGGGCAGGAAGGGGCTTTCCTCCCGCAGGTGAGGGGGATTCCACAGACCCAGCTTCCTCCCACCTCACCTCCGCAGCACGTCACTGCGCTCTTCTGTGACCTTGCTGACCACTTAAAGATCATGTCCCAGGAGTCAGAACCCTTCTTTCCTGGACGTGTGCTTTAGAGTACCCTCTGCTCCTCACATTCTGGATATTGTTCTTTCTGACCGTTTACCAGCCCCACTAACACAGGAGGTTTTGACCAACTGCTACTTCTTGAAATCTCACTTACACTTAGCCTGATAATAGTGAACTGACATTCCTGGCTGGCCAAGAATTTTCCTAAGCATCTATCTGTTCTGGTCAGCTCTTTCGTTGCGGACTGATCAGTCCAACCAGCACAACTGTGGAGGAGGAAGAGTTGATCCAGGGCTCCTGATTTCAGAGTTCTCAATCCTCAGAAGGCCAGCGCCATTCCTCAGGGCTCCAGGTGAGGCAGAACATCATGGGGGAAGAGAGCGGCAGAGGGAAGCAGCTCACACCATGGTGACCAGGAAGCAGAGAGAGGCTCCCCTCTTCAGATACAGAATATGCACCCCAGATCCACGCCCCAATGACTCACCTCCTCCAGCCACACCCCACCTGCCTCTGGCCACCACCCAGTTAATCCCATCAGGGACTAGTTCACTGATTAGGTTAGGGCTGTGGCCCAATCATTTGTCCTTCAAATGAGCTTTTTGGGGATGGGGAGGCACCTCATATCCAAACCATAACGGCATATGTAGATATATATGGAGCAAGCCAGAGAGAGAGACGAGGTATCTCTACATATAAATTCAATGAATCATCAAACTGACCCTCTAAGATAGGCATCACTACTGTCTCCCTTTTAGAGATGGAAAGTCGAGGCAGAGGCGGAGCTAGAGCCCAGGCAATCCCCTCCTGTTCACGTCCACTAACTGACCTTCATTCCTAAGCTTTTCATTATGAACTTCCTTCACTACTCACCAGATTATTCAGATTATTTTCAAGATTCCAGTTCTGAAATGCAAGGTGTTGAACACCTATAATCCCAGGGGCTCAGTAGGCTGAGGCAGGATGATCATAGATTCAAAGCAACTTAATGAGACCTTGTCTCTACCTAATATATATTTTTAAAAAAAGGCCAGAAATGTGGCTCAGTGGTTAAGTGCCCTGGTGTCAAAAATAAATAAGTAAATAAAAACAAGAATGCCTTTTTAAGAATTTAAAAGCCGATATACAAATACAATATCTTACCTTCATATTTATAGCTACTGAAGGGTTTCATTTTCATTTTTTATTCTCTAATATTTATATGATGAATGACAGGTTAAATGGTTTTCAAAAGGAAATCTATATAGAGCAAAAGCTCAGATAGGATGTTTCGGAATGTGTGGTCATAATCTTCTCAAACTATTAAAACTATCCCAAAGACCTGAATTCACTTCAAAGACAAAACAGTGTAGGAAATGACCCGCCAGCTCTCCGCCAGGCCGTGGTGGCTGTCAATCCCTGTGGCCTGTTTTCCTAACTGAACTGTGAGCTTGCAGAGGGCAGAGAACAGGGATCCTCACTTCACTCCGTGCAACAACCCGACGTCTCCCGTGTTGGCGAGAGCTGGTGGCCTGAGCTCTCTGCGGGTGCTCAGCTCGTCCCACTGAGAAGAGGGCTCTCCAGAACCCCCTGACCTCGGTAAGAAGGCACCAACTCACATCAGTGCAGTCCCCTTGTGACTTTTCTCCATTCCCACTGCTCTGGGCACTTTGTGGCCATGAGCTGGTTTTCAAGTTTCTTCCAATTTATTCAGGGTGAAAAGGCCACTCAGAAGCAGTGCCACACACAGAGTTCCTAATCGACAGGGCTGGCCTTGCTGCGAGCCTTTGGCCTTTCTCTCGATATTATTCTTTTCTTAATACCACCTCAGCTTCTCTTCCCATTTTTAACCACAGAATTACCTTTCCCTGGTGCTGCCATGACTGTCCACAGTGGGACCAGGCTTCTGAAGGGGCCCGGGCTGATGGGGAGGCCCAGCCTGGCCGCCCCTCACCACACATCCTCAGGGTTTCAAGGCCTCTCCGTCCCTTTGCACACTGGCCTGGCCCTGGACTGCACCTGGGGATCGGGAGCTCTGCTGTTCTTCCCCTTAGCCCCTCCGGCATCAACCCAGCTGTGCCTCAGAGGGCTTGGCCACCGGAAACCTGGGCCCCCTCCCCATCTTCCGGGAATCCCAGCAGCCCTGCTGACCTGCACCCTCTAGGAACTGGCCCTTGCATAAGATACCCCCCCACACACACACCCCAGACCTTTCCAACGTGGGTGGCTGTCTTGGACTCTCTGGACGGACTGCATCTGGGCTCTCCCGTGAGGGTGCTGAACCAGAGTCCAAACTGAGAAGATGCTGCTGTCTCCTCAGTAAGTCACGTCTCCCGAGCTTCCTTTAGCCACTGGGTCAACTTGACAAGTTCAGGAAAATATTAATTACGTAAAATCAGTATTTTCAACTTTTTTACCATTTTGAATTCATATTTGCTAAGAATATGCTTTGTTTTAATTTGTCTGTTTGTTGTCTTTTTCTCTCATCTTCTGACTTGAGAAGTCAAAACTCACCGTGCCGGCTGTCACCATGCTCATCTCAGACCCCACCCACCTTCCTTGGCAGTTCATTCTTTATCGAATTTGCAGTTCTCCTATAAAACCAGCCAGTGACACCTTCCAATGCCCCATGTCAGGGTCTGCAGCGCAATCGGCAGCATGTCCATGGGGGTCTCTTGAGCTTATTCATGTCAAAAAGAGCACCTGCCCTCCAGGTGGGCACCTGCACACCTCCACACTCAGATGGAACGTTTCTCAGCCCCCCAGCTTCTCTTCCCTGACTGTCTGCAGGGAAGAGGACAACAGTGAAGTGAGATTAAAGAATCCCTCATCAGTTTCTTACCCAATGATGTTAAATTTACATTTTACTAAAGAAGATTAAGTACTAGGGCTACTAAATTAGAAAACACCTATCAAACAAAATTTGAATTATCCTCTCTCTGGCCTACGTGTCATGCAAATGCATTTGGGGACAGTAAGTCCTTTGGGGAACTGCCTTAGGACAGTTGTGCCATCGCAGCTGATTAGATAGGGCTAGACATGCTTGCTGGACATACCTGCTGTGACACTATGGCTGTCCATCACCACAGCTGCAGAAGGAGGCTTGGGCCCGTGTACCATGATCCCATGGGAGATGCTGCTCACGCGGCCTGACTCGATGGCACTTGTGCACGGGTCTCCCAGTCCTGAATGGCACGAGTGTCTCTCCTGCACCCCCCTCACTCTCCCAGTGAGATTGCTGGACCCAGGTTTGTCAAGAAGTTCATCAGCAATGTGAGGCCCTTGGTGCTGCTCTCCTGGGGGCTGAGCCAGAGAGCAGACCAAGGAAAGACAGATGGAACCTGCTGGGAGGTTTCTGCAAGCTCCAGAGAAGCAGGTCTAACCCAGACCGTGTCCCTGACCCCAACAGGCCTGGAGAGCCCCACACTCCAGCCCAGACCTGATGAGCACGAGACAGCTCTCAGACTGAGTCCACCTGCTGCCAGGCCCTTGTTCATGTCAACACCAAGGTGAGGAAGCAGGGCTGGGAGAGGAGGAGGTAGAAGGGAAGAAAAGGGGTTGTGGGGCAAGAGTGAGGACAGAGAGATTTAGGAGAGATGACCACTGACAGTCATGGGATGCTGTGGAGGAACAGGCTGGGAGATGTCCAGGTGTACGGGATGTCGGCTTCAGCTCCACCCATCACCAGCTCCTTCCCCACAGAGTTCAGAATCCCATCCATCTCCTCCCACCTACTAGGACCAGCACCCCTGC